TAAAGCGCCCCTAAACCCTATTCTAATTATTATTATTAAGGCCCCTAAACCCTAAACCCTCACAGTACCCTTTATAGTAACTCTTTTAAAGGAACCCTTAAAGGAACCCTATTCTAATCATTAAGGCCCCTACATCCTAAACCCTCATAGTAGCCCTTATAGAGCCCTTCTGAGGAACCCTCTACAGGAACCCCGCAAAACTGTACCCCACAATTAAGGCCCCTACATCCTGAACATGCAGGAAAAGGGTCCGGAGCTTGCTATGCCAAGAGGCCGTCTCGTGGACATGGCGTAGAGTACAAGAGCCTGTCAGGGGGGATGGGTTTTAGAGTTTAGGGTTGAGGGTTTAGGGGTTTAAGGGTTTAGGTGTTAAGGGTTCTCACGGTTTATTCAGGGTTTAGGGTTTAGGGGTTTAGGGTTTAGGGTTTGAGGTAGCGGTCGGAATACTATAGAGATAGTAGTCCCGTAAGGCCCCTATAGGTGTATGCTAGAGAATGTACCCCAAAACCCTAGCCCATGTATCAAGGCCCCTCCTACTAGCTTCGGCAGACAAGGGTGGAGGCTTTCGGGTCTGGGTGGGCTCAAACGGGCTTTTAGGGTTTAGGGTTAGGGTTTAGGGTTTAGGGTTTAGGGTATAGGGTTTAGGGGCGTAAGGTCTGCAGTACGTTGTAGAGCTTGGGAAGTGCAGGGGACTCTCATGAAGGAGAAGAAATACGCTGCTCTGATGTGGACTGATCCCGTCTCCGAACTACAAGCATCGTCTACAAGCGTGCTCGTCCCTAGCAGTCTCCTATTCTCAAAAACATCACATCGATAGTTCCCTTGAGTTAACAGTGTGGTTTGGTCTCTCGTGCAAAATGAAGGAACAAGTGATGCGATGAGGCAGAACGGCAATCTGCTGGGGATGTCAAACGGGGATTCCACTGTAGAGAACCCACCGAAAAGGCTTTAAGCATTTGGGGGTTTCCCAAAATAGGGGACCCTAATATAGTAGCCTAAATAGTGAGATCCTTATTATAAGGACCCCTAAATAAGGTACCCCCTATTTTCAGTAGCTCCCATTTGCCATCCCAAGAGGCTAGCCTACAGTTCAGGGCTACAGCGCTACAGGGTTTTGGGAGATTGCAACACTCGGCCCACTTCTCCATCGCTGAAGGCCTGCTCCCCAGAATCTGCACGCCGATTCAGGAAAAAACAAGCAGCTATTACTCTTAAGCAAGTCGATGGTGTTGAAAACGACCTTGATGATCGCGCATCATGAAAACCTAAAAGCCGAACCCCAACCCTTGCCATTGAAACTCCTAAACCCTAGCCCCCTTGAGATGTGGGTAGTTGTCAAAATTATGGTCCCTTTGGGGTACCCTAAATAATAGGTGCCGTATTATAATAAGGACCCAAAAAGGGACCATAATTTGACAACCACCCATGTATGCTTGCGAGACCGGATATTGCCGGGCTCTCGTGTCAACAAACATTGGTTTGCCCTTTACGGTTGTCGGGAGCTCACAATACGAGCAGTTACGCAGGGATTCTCATCGAATATCATTGATGCTTCTATCTAAACCCTAAACCCTAAACCCTAGTCTATGTCAAACGAACATCGAAGCCCCAAACGGGTCAGTAGTCACTAGTCCGTGCCGTCCTGGGCTGAGGATACGAACAGCGACACACAAAAACAGGACCATGCCAGTAGCACATGCGAACCGTGTTTAAAAGGCGCTGTACCATAGATGCAATAGTGTCCCGCTTTAAGTCCCCATTCTCTAAGTAAACAGCAACAGACACCCAAACCCCTTGAAAAGCGTCATTTGCGCTCCTACAGTACTAGCAACCGTCGCGATCCGTCCCAGTCCTGCCCGCTTGAGTCGTGCAAAGGTTTGCTGGCTCGCGTAGTGGCACTCCTGCTTAAGTGACAGGCTGGGACTACAGTGGTAGACAGTCGTCTCATGGCCATCACATTTACCAATATTGTCAGTCGACTTCAAGCTCTTATCAACATCATGAATCCGACTAAACTCACGATTGACTGTGTCTGTTTATCACCATGACTATCGCAAGCATCTCTGACTCTCTGTCGGAGTTCGCTAACCACACCTTGGGGCTGAGATTTTCGTCGCAGACAGAGCTCTATTTCGCCGAGATTGACTCTGAGTGCGCGGATTAGGGCTTACAGGGTTTAGGGTGTAGGGTTCAGTTTGGGGTTTCTGGTTCAGGTCGATGGGCATGCTTGGGCAATCCGAGGGCCTGCCGCGCACTTGCGTCTACCAGCGAGCAGAAGCAACGCGAAGGAATGCGCGCAAAATCAGGTAAGGCACCGAAGAAACAAGTATCATCGAGTAAGTTGGTAATTCCGAGCAAGCTCCTCCTGCCACTGCCACGAAGACAGCCAGGAGTGCCGAGACACCTTGTCCGTGCGATCAATCTCGAAGCTTGGAGTTATATGAAGCTCGGGTACTGATGAAATGGACAGGAAACCACAATTCACTACCAGCTGACTGCCATACCAACAGCCTCAAGCAGCCTGCGCATAGCAGCCTAGAAAGCTGAGCAAGACCAGACTGCCCCAGCAATGTAAGGGCCTTACTAGCTAGAATAAGGTTTCGGGCTCCTTTGTAGTATGACTCTAATATGGAAACCCAAGGCATCATGTTGGTACTTAGGCGTCTATATTACTATCCCCAAACCCTAAACCCTAAACCCTAAACCCTAAACCCTAAACTATCAGCCTTGATTAAACACTGAATGCTAAAGGCAAACCTCCCCACCACCAGAAAAAGACGAAAGCCTGAACACCGAAAAGCCCTGACCATGCCCCCAAAACACCTTCCCTAAGGGTCCATGTGCCCAAATAGTAGAACATTGGCCCTAAAGTACCCATATAGGGACTACATTAAGGCCAATGTTCTACTATTTGGGTACATGGACCCTTAGGGCTTTATACGCCGTAAGCCGCAACCCAAGGCCAAAATCCGATCAGAACAGCGCTCGCTAAACATGCCGTATCGCTGACATCATAGCAAGAGCAAGGCAGATGGAACAGAAGGACGATTCCATAGCGTAAAAGTAAACACTGTCTGTTCTTTGGGTCTAGGCCATTATCAGGTGGGTTGTTACCGATATAGGAGCCTTATAGAAGGTCTATATACCTTATAGAAGCCTTATGGAAGCCCTTTCTACCCTAAACTCCCCACCTGACCCTAAACCCTAAACCCCAAACCCTAAACCCTAAACCCCTAAAGCCCTAAAGCCTAAACCCTAAACCCTAAACCCTAAACCCTAAACCCTGTAGTTTCCTTTAATTGGGAGAGTCCGAGAAGGCCTGCAGCTGCCTTTCCTGCAGATCTCGACTTCTCTGGCCATAGCATCCATTGGACGGTTTGAGCCGAAGGGTTTAGGGTTTAGGGTTTAGGATTTAGGGTTTAGAGTTTAGGACTTAGGGTTTAGGGTTTAGGGTTTAGGATTTAGGGTTATAGGATTTAGGGTTTAGGGTTTAGGGTTTAGGATTTAGGGTTTAGGGTTTAGGGTCGGTTTGAGCCCGAGGGAGCAAGCAACCCGACTGGCTTAGGGGTTGAGTTCCATCAGGGTTCGGTATAGGGTTTAGGGTTTAGGGTTTAGGGTAGGGTTCTGTAAAGGTTCAAAGCGTCTTCTGGATCTAGGTTTCAGGATTTTAAGTTACATGTTCGGGATCTTTCGGTAAACAGGGTGTAGGATGTCATTGGACCGGTGTAGGGTCTTCGCGACCTTATTTGAAGAGCATCTTGAATTAGCGTTTATGGGCAATGATGCAGGATTCGGTAGACCGCCGGCACTGGGATTTGTTTAGTTTAGGTTGTGGGGTTTATGAGTTTGGAGCGTTCAAACTTTCCGGGGTTTTGGGTTTGAGGGGTGCTGCTCTAGGCTAAGGGTGTTGATGAGCCAATCAATGCGACACTCTCCAGATGCAAAGCTTCTTATCCTACCCCACTCCCTCGCCCTTACACCGCCTTCAAAAATAGAGAGCAGCCTCGAGACATCTTGAGCGCACGCAGCAGCCCTTCTTCCAGCATTCTACTTAAAGGATCATGGGACTTAGTAAGTAGGGCTATAACTAAGGTAACTATACTTATAACCCCAATTAGGTGACTTATAACCCTACTTACTAAGGCCCATGATCCTTTAAGTAGTAGCCCTGCCAGGTTGCCCTCATGTAGCCTGATGGGAAGCCTCAAAGTCACCCTTGCCAGGATGCCCCGTAACAAGGGGATCCTTTTGAGCATCGGGTGGGTTTTACCAGGAACCTAAGACCAGGAAAAAGGAAAACCCTAAACCCTGAACTAAACCAACCCTAAACCCTAAAACC